TAACTTCTCATAGTAGAATGTATTTTTCACTAGAACCAATATGTGTGTAGCGAAGGTATAAGTGAGAATTAGTCACATGATATCATGCATTGACAAGGTGATGAACCCTAATTTCACATGAACAATTCAAATTTGCACATAATGATATTATTTATAAATAATATCATTCAATGATTGATGGAAAAATTCGGCCGGATAAACCTGCAAAAAAAAGTGTTAGAAAAATAAAATAGCTCGAGTCGCGTAAACGTTGTCCTCAAGAAAGTATTTCCGGCTAGCGAAAATCTTTCCACAAGATAAAACGAGCTCTTCGGTGTAAGCCGGTAACAGAACAATGAGAGTGAAAGATGTATTAATCCAGCAGAGTGAAAATATATTTCAAGATACGTTTTTTCGTAGCTATCTAAGTAAGCAGTGAGGCAGCCGATTTTATACAACAGGATTTCGAACGTTGCTAATCTTTTTGCATGCCAGGTAGACAGGGCCGGTCCTGTCTATTCTCGGGCCTATGGGCGAGATTTTTTTTGGACTTATATTCAAGACAAATAATAAACTATATTTATTTAAAATAATATTTATAATAAAATTATCTAATAAAGGTCATTAAATAAAAATGAAACTTATTTTATTATTATTATTTAAATTTCATATTTGGCAAAAAATAACAACACAAGTATCACATAATAAGAAAAACATTACTTAAAAATGTTTCTCACGGAATTTCAAGATTCAATTTCTTAACAAAAACAAAATTTTCCATCGATCCCTTCTAACTTAATCTTGTCTTTTCTAATCTTCTTCTCTTTCTCTCTTTATCGCAACCATATTCACCACTTTTATCAAGAATAATTTATTGATCACAGATAGATTGTTTGAAGCCTTGAAAGAAGAAGTTTTTGATCACCAGCCGTCGTTTGAGCTCCTCGATTGATTGGGTTCAACTCTTAACAAAACGCTGAGGCATTCATCGCTTTATTCGTAGCGTTCTTTACTCTTGTTGATATTGAAATTTGGAAGCAACAAATCAATTTGGATGAGCTTTGCGAATTGGGAGTTTTGGACTTCAGAGGCCTAACATAACTTTGTAATTTTGTAATTAGAAGGATTGTAAAACTTAGAGATCCAAAAAGAATTAAGAGAGACGAGCCACTTTTACATTTATTTTTAAAAATAAACCTTGAGCCAATTAATTGAGCTTAAAAATTAAGAAAAGAAGCCTACTCACACCACATACAAAGAAATATTTTTGGGCTTATTCCCCCCCCCCCCCCCTATTTTCTTGGGCCTAGGGCGGTCGCCCCTGTTGCACCCCCTAGGGCCGCCCCTGCAGGTAGAAACCGTTTACAAATTAATAATAAATGTGTTGAAATATTATTGAATTAGTCATCTTCCAACTATTCTTGATTAGGAATTATTATCACCATTATATAAATAATCAGGAAATCATAATTATGATTCTAGATGATAATTGTGTGGTACACAATTATCTTCTAATCCTAAGGAGTTTAGTTTTTCTCCTATAAATAGGAGTGTTCTCCTTCATTGTAAAGACACTTCTTAGACACCATTATCACACTTCTAATAACATCTTTCTTACTAAGTATTCAGAATATACTTTCTCTCCCTAATCTTCTGCTTATTTCCTTCCATTTTATAACACGTTATCAGCACGAGTTTGCTCCAAATCCCTGAAATTATCATCTTCCCAATAGATATGGAGTTAACTGAAATTTCTCCAAGTGGCTTTGAACAGTGTTTAATAGACAGTGCCACAATGCACACCATTTTGAGACATAGAGATTATTTTTCTCATATGACATTAGTTGATGCTAATGTCAATACAATCTAAGGTGTTGCTAAACTCATTGAAGGTTCTGGAATAGCCTGTGTGATTCTCCCAAAAGGGACAAAATTAATAATTAAAGACGCTTTATACTCCAGTAAATCACGGAGAAATCTTTTGAGTTTTAAAGATATGCGTCTAAATGATTTTCATATTGAAACCATGTCTGAAAATGAAAAGGAATATTTATGTCCAACGACAAATAGATCTGGCAATAAATATATTTCTGAAAAAATGCCAACATATTCCTCGGGACTGTACTAATTATACATATATCAGTCCAATTGAGATAAATGTGGTATCTAAAATTTATGACCACAATTCTTTTATCTTGTGGCATGACCGTTTAGGTCATCCAGGCAGCACTATGATGCACAAAATTATTGAAAATTCACTTGGACATTCATTAATTAATGTCAAGATTCCACAATCAAGTGATTTTCCGTGCACTGCATTTTCTCTTCGCAAATTAATTATCAGCCCATCTTTATACAAAATTGGAGTTGAATCTCCTGCATTTTTAGAAAAAATTCAAGGAGATATTTGTGGGCCAATTACCCCTCCGTGTGGACCGTTTCGATATTTTATGGTGCTCATTGATGCACCAACACGTTGGTCACATGTCAGTCTTTTATCGGCTAGAAATTTTGCATTTGCAAATCTCCTTGCTCAAATTATTCGTTTGAGATCACAATTTCAATTCCGGATTATTCGATAAAGAAAATCCGACTTGATAATGCGGAAGAATTCACATCCCAATCTTTTAATGACTATTGCATGTCAATTGGGATTGATGTGGAACATCCAGTTCCACATGTACATACACAAAATGGTCTTGCCGAATCCTTAATTAAGCGATTACAATTAATTGCTAGACCATTATTGATGAAATCCAGATTACCATCATCTGCATGGGGATATGCTATAATGCATGCTGCAAATTTAATTCGGCTTAGGCCAACGGCATATCATAAATTTTCCTCATTACAATTAATATCTGGTAAAGAACCAAATATATCACACCTAAAAATATTTGGTTGTTCTGTGTATGTACCAATTGCTCCACCTTATCGTACTAAAATGGGTCCTCAAAGAAGGCTGGGAATTTATGTTGGTTTTAAATCACCCTCAATTATTAATTATCTAGAACCTATGACTGGTGGCTTATTCACCGCGCGGTTCGATAACTGTCATTTTGATGAGACAGTATTCCCAGCCTTAGGGGGAGATATTAAAGAAATGGACCCACGTACGAAAGATATTACTTGGAATGCAACAAATTTATCTTTTCTTGATTCTCGCACCAATGCTTGTGAACAAGAAATTCAAAAGATTATTCATTTACAAAATGTTGCAAACCAATTGCCTGATGCTTTCACAAACTCAAAGAAAGTGAAAAAGTCACATATTCCAGCTATTAATATATGCTCCTTCTCGAATAGAAATTCCTGCGGAGATTAGCGAAAGAACTCTTTTTAATGAATCTATGATATGTGAAAATGTGGTAGATCACTTGGTTCAAGAGATTTGAAACCAAGAAAATTTAAACAGCAAGTTTTAGTTTGTGATGCCAAAGAAGTTCAACCTTCTCAAGAAGAAAATGAACATTTTGAAAATATCGGCCTTGAAGATAACATCAATAATAAAGATACCTCAAAAGAGGATCCAATCACCTTCGAAGAGGTAAATATTCCAGATAAAGATAGAAACGTCGATAATTTCGAAATTTCAATTAATTATGTTTCTAATGGAATACAATGAAATAGAAATGATATTGATGTTAATGATATATTTTCATATGTCATCGCCACAGATATAATGAATGAACACGATGACAATGAGCCTAAATCTATTGACGAATGTCGTCGTAGAAATGATTGGCCAAAATGGAATGAAGCAATTCAGGTAGAATTAAAATCGCTAGAAAAGCGTAATGTTTTTGGACCAATTGTCCATACGCCAAAAGGCGTAAAACCGGTTTTAAATGGGTTTTTGTGCGTTTAAATGAAACCGTTAGATACAAAGCCCGACTTGTTACCCAAGGTTTTTCTCAAATGCCAGGAATCGATTATGATGAGACGTATTCTCCAGTAGTTGATGCTACAACTTTAAGATTTTTAATTGGCATGTCTGTTTTTGAAAGGCTGCAAATGCGCCTAATGGATGTGGTGACCGCATATTTATACGGTTCACTCGATACAGACGTATATATGAGAATTCCTGGAGGCTTTAAAATACCTGATGCTTATAGCTCGAAATCTCAAGATTTATTTCCATAAAATTGCAAAAGTCATTATATGGATTAAAACAATCTGGACGCATGTGGTATAACCGTCTCAGTGAATATTTAATTAAAGAAGGATATAAAAATGATCCTATTAGTCCATGTGTTTTTCATTCGGCGATCCGAATAAGGATTCGCCATAATTGCAGTATATGTTGATGATTTAAACATGATTGAAACTCCCAATGAAATTAAAAATACTGCAAAATATCTCATGAAAGAATTTGAAATGAAAAACATTGGGAGAACAAAATTTTATCTCGTCATTCAAATTGAACATTTGAGAAAATGGTATTTTTTGTGACACCGCACCCGAACGTCCTTGAAAATTCGATTTAAAAATTCAAAAGTGATGCATTGAATTTCCAATTTCAAAACAATGGGAGAAACGACTAATATTTTACGAAGTACATGATTGAATATTGTATTGTTCAAACCCGCATTCTTTTGTAATTTTCATCGTGTAAATTATTGGGATGAGCCTACACATATTGGAGATCAATAATGTGATTTAGGAAGTTGACTTGTTCTAAATAAATTAGGATGAGTACAAAAAGACATCTTTGACAAAGATAAAACAATAGGACCCATCTTCCCATTTTTGGAAGTATTGGTAGATATTTTGGACCCCAAATTTAATGGGATCAATTGGGAACCACTCCACATGGTATTAGTACCTGCAAAACAAATAAAAATGGGTTAGGAGACTTACCTTGGCCGGCCATTATGGAGAAGAGCTGCACATGACTTGATAAGAATCAAAGTTTGGGGCCACCACTCTTATTTTCGCACAAATTGGTGTGCTGTTTGTCTCCTCTCATTATAGGAGCTATCCTCAACCAAATAACGTGTATGAGGTGTCCTTGGATAGCCTTTGAAGTCTATTATCTCAATTGAGTGGTCTTTGTTCGAGGAGAGAAGGCTTATCTTGCAAAAATCGAGCTGGAACGAGCAAAGGTCTGTGAACTCGAGCTGTGAGAGTGCTGAGACTGTTTGGTCGATATCTCGAGTTTTACAAGTCCAATTAAGGCGTGTGAGATACCCACAGAAAGCTCTCAAGACGGGGAATCCGTGAAGGTCTGGTTTGCAGGAATCGGAGTTGTGGAAGGCTTCCAAATCGTCCGAGCAAAACACAACCTCGCAGGAGAGGATTTAACCTTCTAAAGTGAGTTTTAACCCCAAAGCTTTACTTTTCATTCTCCAAATGATATGAACGATTGGTGAGACTATTATACACTAATCCAAGTGTATAATATGTCCCTAAAAAAGTTATCTTATTGATGTAAAGGTTAGATACTAACCTAGATGCAAATATTGGAAAACTAGGAATCGAGTTAGCCGGAAAACACCCGTTCTAGGGGCTGTTTTCGTATCAACGATTAAGGGTTGAACTAGCACTTTGAGGAGGCTGTTTAACACTCATATTTGAGCAAGGAATCAGTCCCAAATCCACCTTGACCAAAGATTTGACCATTGGACCAAGAAGGGAAAGTTTAAAGCTCAATTGAGGTGAGGATTGACATCTAATTGCTTACAACTTGTAGGTTAAGCATGAGATTACCTAAATGCTTAAATCATGATTTTTCATGGATTATGATGATTATATATAGATGAAATATTGATATAGTTGCCAAAGAATGAAATTTGAAATGATTTGAGAAGGTATGAATAATATGAGATTAAATGAGTATAAATGAACTATTTGTGAAAATGGGCATTTTTCTCATGTATGAATTATGTGGATACATAAATGAATATTTGTGTATTGAGAACGAATGTTTAAGTTGCTGCTACATAAGTATAAATATGTAGAGAATTACAAATAACAAGGATAATGGTTTGATAACAATAATCTTAATAGTATTGAAATACTAGTTAATGATTATTGGGATTTATTGATTAAATTGATCCTAGGGATTGGATTGCATGAAAGGTGCTTGAATATAGTTCAAGTGTATATAATAACTTAGTATGGAACTAAGGTTAAGTTATGGGAAGTCTTTAAGGATGACCCATGGTAGTTTAATGATATGTCAATTCTAGGCATAGGGATTGCTTGAGAATTGGACCTTAATGCATGGTGATGTGATAGAGCCGAGCTCTAGAATGCATGTAAGGGTAGACTTGGAGTCTATGTATTGTATAGCTAGAGCCGAGCTCTAGGACTTGCGTGGTGATGTGGTAGAGCCGAGCTCTAGAACGCAAGGTAAGGAAATTGACCCGAGGTATATGAATTGTATGGTGATGTGGTAGAGCCGAGCTCTAGAATACAATGTCATGTACTAGGGTTGGACTCTAGGAGTTGTCGTGGCTTATAGCCACGGGGTTGGGAATGGTGATTTCCAAATGAAAACGGGCCCACGGGCCGACTACTTGACTTTTATATAAAGTAAGTATATTTTTAAACGGGGTAACTTAGGGTTACAATCATAATGTACTATCACCCTACTTGAGGGTCTTGTGTTTGAAATACTTGTTGTATATCTATTAGATGCCTGCCACACCAGTACTTTATAGCCGTATAGAGTACTGACCCCTTCGGGGGCGTCCCACCACCATTTCAGGTTGAGGCTAGAGCTTGCTTCCTGTGCTCGTTGATCGAGTGATTCCTTGGAGAGAAGACTTGGTTCGTGCTTCCTCCATTCTGTTTTTAAATAATATTAAACTTGCTCATGGATATTTTACTTTAGAGCCTGCGTGCTCATGTTTGCCCTGTGTGGCCCTTTTGTTTTAAACAATGTTTTCCGCTGCGTATTCAATTGTTTATTATGTATGTTTATGGATGACTTATGTGTGAATGATATTCATGACGCCTTGTATAATATGAATGTGTTGGACTGCGGTTGACTATTCGTATTGTACGGCGGGTTGTTGACGTGTCCGGGGAGGTCCGGGGCGTGACAATTAAGTTGGTATCAGAGACAGGTTCATAAACTTCATAATGAAGTCTCAAAATTCTCTTTTTGAAAAGATTTTGAAAACCATGAGCATAGGAGTTTTGTACTTGGAGAGCTTTTGGTACTTGGGTTGCAAGGTCTCTAATTGTTAAGATGGTACCCTTAGCAATTGGTATGGCGGTGACTCGAGCCAAAATGTGTCTTAAGTACATATCCGTCAATTGACATTTGATACGAGTCTAACGACTCTTTCCAAATTTCTTTCAGAAATGGACCGTGGTGGCAAGGTAACTAGGAGGAACCCTTTGGGCCGTGCACCCGAGGAGACTGGGCAAGGCAGTCGTAGGACCTCTAGGGCATCTAGAGGAGCGGGCCGTGGAGGCCAATCACGGACCGTGAGTGACGGTCATGTGAGCACCGAAAGTGACAGCTACTGGTCCTATGAGGACTCGACCTATCGGCCGGAAACAGAGCCGGTTGAAACCCCTTATGAAGGGGATGATGATGATGTAAGTGATGAGGAGGACAACGGCTCCTTAGCGCGGATTGAGGCACTACTCCAACAATATCACCGTGAGCGTGAAGAGAGGAGGGAACGCCGAAGGCGCCGGGCTGGGCAACCTTCGGGCATGGCTTCACGAGGAGGAAGTCATGGTGCATCTAGAGTCCATGTGGAACCACGTGGAGGCCAAAATGATGGAGGTCCAACCATAAGGATCTCCAAATACATCAAAGAAGCAAGAGATTTGGGGTGCAAACCCTTTGATGGAGCAGGGGACATTTCAGTGGCAGCACAATGGATCAAGAGGCTAAATGAAGCGGCCCTTGACATGCAAATCGCGCCGAATCTCAAACTGAGAATTGCGGTAAGATTGCTCGAGGGGATGGCATCCAAGTGGTGGGATGGAACCAAGAACAAGTACGGTGAGACCGTCGTTTGGGAGGACTTCCAACGGGAGTTCTTTGCCCAATACTATTCTGATTTCGAGGTGAATAAGAAGGTGAGGGAATACACCCTCCTAACCCAAGGGGGTAACATGTCAGTGAAGGAGCTTGAGTACAAGTTCCGGGATCTCGCCGACTACATACCGGAGTATGCTTGTGACGAGAACCGCATGGTGAACCACTTTTGGGACGCTCTTGACTTGGAGATACGTGATAGGGCAACGCAATTGCCTAATATGACTTTCGCCCAAGTGGTTGAACAAGCATTGAAAGGGGAGAAACAGTGGGAGGAACGGAAGAAGAGAGACGCCGAGGAGGCGAAAAAGAGAAAATGGGAGAGTCATGGCTCCCAACGTTCCAACAAAAAGGGGAACCATGGAGGAGGATCTTTCCGGGCACCACCGCCACCGTCTAGGGGGAACCAAGGCCCGAGTGGGCAAGGCTCGAGGTCACAAACCTCGGTGGTAACTCGTTGCAACAATTGCAAGAAGAACCACTCCGGTAAATGTCGCGACCCCCCTAGATGCTTTCAATGTGGGGATGCCGGGCATTTGAAGGCACATTGTCCACAACTGGGCGGGGCAAGGACATCGGGACCAAGCAGTGGCCCGACGGGTACACGGAGTCAGACCGGGGCCTCTCAAGCAAGCAGAGGACAAGGGGGAGCAAGCGCGAGTAACGCGCCGTCCGTGAATCAAGGAAGGACGCAAGCTAGAGTCTACGCAATGACCGAGGCTGATGCTCGGGCTAATCCCGACTCCGTCGCAGGTAATACACTTATTCGGGTCATTTCTAGGCTTATTTTGATCATATACGTCGTTGGGATTGAGTACGGGCCACCCCGGGGTCAAACTGGGTGAGTTAGGCCGAATCGGGCTGGAAACAGCCACTGCTGGCCAGGCACGCCCGAAGGCACGCCGTGCCTGGAATCGTGCCTGGAAGGCAGTGGCACCCGAAGGAAAGAAAAAAAAAAAAAAAAAAAAAAAAAATTCTGGGCCAGGCACGGCCGCAGGCACGCCGTGCCTGGCGTCGTGCCTGGGAGGCAGTAGCGCCCAGGGCTTTTTCCCAAGCCAGGCACGACCGTGCCTACCCCAGGCACGCCGTGCCTGGCACCCAGATTGCCGAAACCTGATTTTTTCGCACCGTTTTGCGACGTTAAGGCCTCTTCTTGATCTCTAACGTGCGTGTGAACATTGCAACCTTCTATAAAGGAGTAGGGAGGATAGGAAAGATGTCTTACATGGTTCATGAATGTAGGGACACTAAAGATTAACGGGAAGGATGCACGAATCCTTATCGATACCGGAGCGCAACGTTCATTCGTGAGTGAGGCGTTTGCCGAGAGCTTAGAGATGCAATCAATACCAATGACACAAACCTTAGTGGTATCAACCCCACTAGGGGAAGACGTTGAAAGAAACAATTACTATCCATCTTGTATGGTGGAAATCGGTGGCCAAACCTTGACGTGTGATTTCGTACCGCTGAGTATGATGGAGTTCGATGCAATCCTAGGGATGGATTGGCTAGAAAAGCATCATGCTAGGGTAGATTGCTACACAAAGGTGTTGGAACTCGAAGGCACGCATGGGGACACCCTACGCTTCGAGGGGGACCGCGGCAAATCAAATAGTTGTATCATATCCGCCGTGAGAGCGAGAAATATGATGAAGAAGGGATGCCACGCATATCTAGCATACGTGGTTGACAAAACCAAAGAGGGAACGAACATCGAGGATGTGAGGGTGGTTTGTAAGTATCCGGATGTCTTCCCTAAAGACCTACCGGGGCTTCCACCTGACAGGGAGATTGAATTTGTGATCGAGGTCGAGCCTGGTACCAAACCAATCTCCATACCGCCATACCGGATGGCACCCGCTGAACTTAACGAGTTAAAAACCCAATTGCAAGAGCTTTTGGATAACGGTTTCATTAGACCAAGCCACTCCCCGTGGGGAGCACCGGTTCTTTTTGTGAAAAAGAAAGATGGGACACTTCGAATGTGCATTGACTATCGTAAACTGAACAAGGTCACAATCAAGAATAGGTATCCGTTGCCTAGGATTGATGACTTGTTTGATCAACTACGAGGAGCAACCGTGTTTTCGAAGATTGACTTAAGGTCGGGGTACCATCAATTGAAGATTAAGGAAGATGACATACCAAAGAGTGCTTTCCGCACAAGGTATGGGCATTTTGAGTTCCTTGTTATGTCGTTTGGGTTAACAAACGCCCCGGCGGCATTCATGGACTTGATGAACCGAGTATTTCATAAATACTTGGATCGATTCGTGATTGTGTTCATAGATGACATCTTGATTTACTCAAAGAGTGAAGAAGAGCATGAGGAGCACTTGATACTTGTTCTTGAAACACTACGGGAGAAGCAACTCTATGCCAAATTTTCTAAATGTGAATTTTGGCTAAAGGAGATTGGCTTCCTCGGGCACGTGGTTTCGGGATCGGGGATTGCTGTTGATAACAAGAAGATAGAAGCCATCACTGAATGGGAGAGGCCAAAGAACGTCAAGGAAATTCGTAGTTTCCTTGGATTGGCAGGCTACTATAGAAAGTTCGTGGAAAAGTTCTCTGTTTTGGCATCGCCATTGACGAAGCTCACTCGTAAAGGAGCTAAGTTTGTATGGGATGACAAATGTGAGAAAGGGTTCATGGAACTAAAGAAGAGATTGACTGAGGCACCGGTACTTGCATTACCCAAACAAGGTGTGGGGTACGATGTCTATAGCGATGCGAGCATCCAAGGGCTCGGATGTGTACTGATGCAGAATGGGAGGGTAATCGCCTATGCTTCACGACAATTGAAGAAGCATGAGGTGAATTATCCTACTCATGATTTGGAGCTCGGGGCAGTGGTATTTGCACTGAAGATATGGAGACATTATCTCTACGGGGAGACATGTCACATATACACTGATCACAAGAGCTTGAAGTACGTGTTTACTCAGAAAGAGCTAAACATGAGACAGAGACGGTGGATGGAGCTGATAAAAGACTACCATCTGGTGATAGAGTATCACCCAGGCAAGGCAAACGTGGTGGCAGATGCTTTGAGCCGGAAGAGCTCGTCTGGGGCATTGATAACTAATTTGAGGGCATTAAGAGCCCAACTGGAGGTAACCAGCGATGGTGCCTTATTGGCACGATTTGAGGTGAGACCCACTTTACTTGATGAGATCAAGAAGGGTCAGGAAGCCGACGAAGAACTTATGAAGGTCCGGGAACGCATGCAAGCGGGGCCGGTGGAGGATTTCAGGGAAAGAGATGATGGTCTCTTGTTATTTCGTGACCGAGTGTGTGTACCGTCAGATGATGAGCTCCGAAAGTCCATCTTAGAGGAGGCTCATTCATCGGCTTATGCCATGCACCCGGGGGGCACGAAAATGTACCGTGATTTGAAGGAAAGTTACTGGTGGTCTGGAATGAAGAGGGAAATAGCCGAGTACATCAGTCGGTGCCTTACTTGTCAACAAGTTAAGGCAGAACATCAGCACCCAGCAGGCTTATTGCAACCACTCTCCATCCCTGAATGGAAGTGGGAGCACGTGACTATGGATTTCGTGGTAGGCTTACCACGGACTATCAGGAACTATGACGCGGTTTGGGTCGTTGTGGATAGGCTCACAAAGAGTGCACACTTCTTGCCTATCAACACTACCTACCCACTTGAGAGGTTAGCCAAATTGTATACGGATGAGATCGTGAGGCTGCATGGGGTCCCGGTGACCATTGTATCTGATAGAGACCCACGATTCACATCACGTTTTTGGCCGAAATTCCAGGAGTCTATGGGAACGAAGTTGAAGTTCAGCACTGCTTTCCATCCACAGACGGATGGGCAGTCTGAAAGGGTTATCCAGATCCTAGAAGACATGCTGAGGGCTTGTGCATTGGAGTTCCAGGGAAGTTGGGACAACCACTTAGCACTTGTGGAGTTTGCCTATAACAACAGTTATCAGGCAAGCATCGGCATGCCTCCATACGAGGCATTGTATGGGAGGAGGTGCCGTACACCGTTATGCTGGGACGAGGTTGGCATGGCCAAACTCGAGGGTACTGAGTTGGTTGAGGTCACCAAATCAAAGGTGAAGTTGATTCGAGAGAGACTCAAGGCGGCTCAGGATAGACAAAAGAGTTATGCAGATAAGCGTCGAAGAACCTTAGAGTTTAAGGTTGATGACGAGGTATTCTTGAAAGTTTCTCCTTGGAAAGGGATCATTCGGTTCCAAACCCGAGGAAAACTTAACCCACGATATATAGGTCCATTCAGAATTATAGAGAGGATTGGGGCCGTTGCATATCGTCTACAGTTGACTCCTGAGTTAGAGAAGATACATAATGTGTTTCATGTATCCATGCTTAAGAAGTATGTGCATGATCCCTCTCACGTACTAGAGAAGCCACCTGTAGAGGTACGTGAGGATTTGAACTACGCTGTTCAACCTATCAAGGTCACCGATAGAAAGGTGAAGAAGCTGAGGAGCAAAGAAGTCCCAATGGTTAAAGTCCTGTGGAAGAGCGATCGGGTCGAGGAAGAGACATGGGAAACGGAGGCTTTGATGAGGAAGCAGTATGCTTTCCTATTCGAGTAGAGCTGTGAATTTCGGGGACGAAATTCCTGTTAAGGGGGGGTGAACTTGTGACACCGCACCCGAACGTCCTTGAAAATTCGATTTAAAAATTCAAAAGTGATGCATTGAATTTCCAATTTCAAAACAATGGGAGAAACGACTAATATTTTACGAAGTACATGATTGAATATTGTATTGTTCAAACCCGCATTCTTTTGTAATTTTCATCGTGTAAATTATTGGGATGAGCCTACACATATTGGAGATCAATAATGTGATTTAGGAAGTTGACTTGTTCTAAATAAATTAGGATGAGTACAAAAAGACATCTTTGACAAAGATAAAACAATAGGACCCATCTTCCCATTTTTGGAAGTATTGGTAGATATTTTGGACCCCAAATTTAATGGGATCAATTGGGAACCACTCCACATGGTATTAGTACCTGCAAAACAAATAAAAATGGGTTAGGAGACTTACCTTGGCCGGCCATTATGGAGAAGAGCTGCACATGACTTGATAAGAATCAAAGTTTGGGGCCACCACTCTTATTTTCGCACAAATTGGTGTGCTGTTTGTCTCCTCTCATTATAGGAGCTATCCTCAACCAAATAACGTGTATGAGGTGTCCTTGGATAGCCTTTGAAGTCTATTATCTCAATTGAGTGGTCTTTGTTCGAGGAGAGAAGGCTTATCTTGCAAAAATCGAGCTGGAACGAGCAAAGGTCTGTGAACTCGAGCTGTGAGAGTGCTGAGACTGTTTGGTCGATATCTCGAGTTTTACAAGTCCAATTAAGGCGTGTGAGATACCCACAGAAAGCTCTCAAGACGGGGAATCCGTGAAGGTCTGGTTTGCAGGAATCGGAGTTGTGGAAGGCTTCCAAATCGTCCGAGCAAAACACAACCTCGCAGGAGAGGATTTAACCTTCTAAAGTGAGTTTTAACCCCAAAGCTTTACTTTTCATTCTCCAAATGATATGAACGATTGGTGAGACTATTATACACTAATCCAAGTGTATAATATGTCCCTAAAAAAGTTATCTTATTGATGTAAAGGTTAGATACTAACCTAGATGCAAATATTGGAAAACTAGGAATCGAGTTAGCCGGAAAACACCCGTTCTAGGGGCTGTTTTCGTATCAACGATTAAGGGTTGAACTAGCACTTTGAGGAGGCTGTTTAACACTCATATTTGAGCAAGGAATCAGTCCCAAATCCACCTTGACCAAAGATTTGACCATTGGACCAAGAAGGGAAAGTTTAAAGCTCAATTGAGGTGAGGATTGACATCTAATTGCTTACAACTTGTAGGTTAAGCATGAGATTACCTAAATGCTTAAATCATGATTTTTCATGGATTATGATGATTATATATAGATGAAATATTGATATAGTTGCCAAAGAATGAAATTTGAAATGATTTGAGAAGGTATGAATAATATGAGATTAAATGAGTATAAATGAACTATTTGTGAAAATGGGCATTTTTCTCATGTATGAATTATGTGGATACATAAATGAATATTTGTGTATTGAGAACGAATGTTTAAGTTGCTGCTACATAAGTATAAATATGTAGAGAATTACAAATAACAAGGATAATGGTTTGATAACAATAATCTTAATAGTATTGAAATACTAGTTAATGATTATTGGGATTTATTGATTAAATTGATCCTAGGGATTGGATTGCATGAAAGGTGCTTGAATATAGTTCAAGTGTATATAATAACTTAGTATGGAACTAAGGTTAAGTTATGGGAAGTCTTTAAGGATGACCCATGGTAGTTTAATGATATGTCAATTCTAGGCATAGGGATTGCTTGAGAATTGGACCTTAATGCATGGTGATGTGATAGAGCCGAGCTCTAGAATGCATGTAAGGGTAGACTTGGAGTCTATGTATTGTATAGCTAGAGCCGAGCTCTAGGACTTGCGTGGTGATGTGGTAGAGCCGAGCTCTAGAACGCAAGGTAAGGAAATTGACCCGAGGTATATGAATTGTATGGTGATGTGGTAGAGCCGAGCTCTAGAATACAATGTCATGTACTAGGGTTGGACTCTAGGAGTTGTCGTGGCTTATAGCCACGGGGTTGGGAATGGTGATTTCCAAATGAAAACGGGCCCACGGGCCGACTACTTGACTTTTATATAAAGTAAGTATATTTTTAAACGGGGTAACTTAGGGTTACAATCATAATGTACTATCACCCTACTTGAGGGTCTTGTGTTTGAAATACTTGTTGTATATCTATTAGATGCCTGCCACACCAGTACTTTATAGCCGTATAGAGTACTGACCCCTTCGGGGGCGTCCCACCACCATTTCAGGTTGAGGCTAGAGCTTGCTTCCTGTGCTCGTTGATCGAGTGATTCCTTGGAGAGAAGACTTGGTTCGTGCTTCCTCCATTCTGTTTTTAAATAATATTAAACTTGCTCATGGATATTTTACTTTAGAGCCTGCGTGCTCATGTTTGCCCTGTGTGGCCCTTTTGTTTTAAACAATGTTTTCCGCTGCGTATTCAATTGTTTATTATGTATGTTTATGGATGACTTATGTGTGAATGATATTCATGACGCCTTGTATAATATGAATGTGTTGGACTGCGGTTGACTATTCGTATTGTACGGCGGGTTGTTGACGTGTCCGGGGAGGTCCGGGGCGTGACAATTAAGTTGGTATCAGAGACAGGTTCATAAACTTCATAATGAAGTCTCAAAATTCTCTTTTTGAAAAGATTTTGAAAACCATGAGCATAGGAGTTTTGTACTTGGAGAGCTTTTGGTACTTGGGTTGCAAGGTCTCTAATTGTTAAGATGGTACCCTTAGCAATTGGTATGGCGGTGACTCGAGCCAAAATGTGTCTTAAGTACATATCCGTCAATTGACATTTGATACGAGTCTAACGACTCTTTCCAAATTTCTTTCAGAAATGGACCGTGGTGGCAAGGTAACTAGGAGGAACCCTTTGGGCCGTGCACCCGAGGAGACTGGGCAAGGCAGTCGTAGGACCTCTAGGGCATCTAGAGGAGCGGGCCGTGGAGGCCAATCACGGACCGTGAGTGACGGTCATGTGAGCACCGAAAGTGACAGCTACTGGTCCTATGAGGACTCGACCTATCGGCCGGAAACAGAGCCGGTTGAAACCCCTTATGAAGGGGATGATGATGATGTAAGTGATGAGGAGGACAACGGCTCCTTAGCGCGGATTGAGGCACTACTCCAACAATATCACCGTGAGCGTGAAGAGAGGAGGGAACGCCGAAGGCGCCGGGCTGGGCAACCTTCGGGCATGGCTTCACGAGGAGGAAGTCATGGTGCATCTAGAGTCCATGTGGAACCACGTGGAGGCCAAAATGATGGAGGTCCAACCATAAGGATCTCCAAATACATCAAAGAAGCAAGAGATTTGGGGTGCAAACCCTTTGATGGAGCAGGGGACATTTCAGTGGCAGCACAATGGATCAAGAGGCTAAATGAAGCGGCCCTTGACATGCAAATCGCGCCGAATCTCAAACTGAGAATTGCGGTAAGATTGCTCGAGGGGATGGCATCCAAGTGGTGGGATGGAACCAAGAACAAGTACGGTGAGACCGTCGTTTGGGAGGACTTCCAACGGGAGTTCTTTGCCCAATACTATTCTGATTTCGAGGTGAATAAGAAGGTGAGGGAATACACCCTCCTAACCCAAGGGGGTAACATGTCAGTGAAGGAGCTTGAGTACAAGTTCCGGGATCTCGCCGACTACATACCGGAGTATGCTTGTGACGAGAACCGCATGGTGAACCACTTTTGGGACGCTCTTGACTTGGAGATACGTGATAGGGCAACGCAATTGCCTAATATGACTTTCGCCCAAGTGGTTGAACAAGCATTGAAAGGGGAGAAACAGTGGGAGGAACGGAAGAAGAGAGACGCCGAGGAGGCGAAAAAGAGAAAATGGGAGAGTCATGGCTCCCAACGTTCCAACAAAAAGGGGAACCATGGAGGAGGATCTTTCCGGGCACCACCGCCACCGTCTAGGGGGAACCAAGGCCCGAGTGGGCAAGGCTCGAGGTCACAAACCTCGGTGGTAACTCGTTGCAACAATTGCAAGAAGAACCACTCCGGTAAATGTCGCGACCCCCCCTAGATGCTTTCAATGTGGGGATGCCGGGCATTTGAAGGCACATTGTCCACAACTGGGCGGGGCAAGGACATCGGGACCAAGCAGTGGCCCGACGGGTACACGGAGTCAGACCGGGGCCTCTCAAGCAAGCAGAGGACAAGGGGGAGCAAGCGCGAGTAACGCGCCGTCCGTGAATCAAGGAAGGACGCAAGCTAGAGTCTACGCAATGACCGAGGCTGATGCTCGGGCTAATCCCGACTCCGTCGCAGGTAATACACTTATTCGGGTCATTTCTAGGCTTATTTTGATCATATACGTCGTTGGGATTGAGTACGGGCCACCCCGGGGTCAAACTGGGTGAGTTAGGCCGAATCGGGCTGGAAACAGCCACTGCTGGCCAGGCACGCCCGAAGGCACGCCGTGCCTGGAATCGTGCCTGGAAGGCAGTGGCACCCGAAGGAAAGAAAAAAAAAAAAAAAAAAAAAAAAAATTCTGGGCCAGGCACGGCCGCAGGCACGCCGTGCCTGGCGTCGAGCCTGGGAGGCAGTAGCGCCCAGGGCTTTTTCCCAAGCCAGGCACGACCGTGCCTACCCCAGGCACGCCGTGCCTGGCACCCAGATTGCCGAAACCTGATTTTTTCGCACCGTTTTGCGACGTTAAGGCCTCTTCTTGATCTCTAACGTGCGTGTGAACATTGCAACCTTCTATAAAGGAGTAGGGAGGATAGGAAAGATGTCTTACATGGTTCATGAATGTAGGGACACTAAAGATTAACGGGAAGGATGCACGAATCCTTATCGATACCGGAGCGCAACGTTCATTCGTGAGTGAGGCGTTTGCCGAGAGCTTAGAGATGCAATCAATACCAATGACACAAACCTTAGTGGTATCAACCCCACTAGGGGAAGACGTTGAAAGAAACAATTACTATCCATCTTGTATGGTGGAAATCGGTGGCCAAACCTTGACGTGTGATTTCGTACCGCTGAGTATGATGGAGTTCGATGCAATCCTAGGGATGGATTGGCTAGAAAAGCATCATGCTAGGGTAGATTGCTACACAAAGGTGTTGGAACTCGAAGGCACGCATGGGGACACCCTACGCTTCGAGGGGGACCGCGGCAAATCAAATAGTTGTATCATATCCGCCGTGAGAGCGAGAAATATGATGAAGAAGGGATGCCACGCATATCTAGCATACGTGGTTGACAAAACCAAAGAGGGAACGAACATCGAGGATGTGAGGGTGGTTTGTAAGTATCCGGATGTCTTCCCTAAAGACCTACCGGGGCTTCCACCTGACAGGGAGATTGAATTTGTGATCGAGGTCGAGCCTGGTACCAAACCAATCTCCATACCGCCATACCGGATGGCACCCGCTGAACTTAACGAGTTAAAAACCCAATTGCAAGAGCTTTTGGATAACGGTTTCATTAGACCAAGCCACTCCCCGTGGGGAGCACCGGTTCTTTTTGTGAAAAAGAAAGATGGGACACTTCGAATGTGCATTGACTATCGTAAACTGAACAAGGTCACAATCAAGAATAGGTATCCGTTGCCTAGGATTGATGACTTGTTTGATCAACTACGAGGAGCAACCGTGTTTTCGAAGATTGACTTAAGGTCGGGGTACCATCAATTGAAGATTAAGGAAGATGACATACCAAAGAGTGCTTTCCGCACAAGGTATGGGCATTTTGAGTTCCTTGTTATGTCGTTTGGGTTAACAAACGCCCCGGCGGCATTCATGGACTTGATGAACCGAGTATTTCATAAATACTTGGATCGATTCGTGATTGTGTTCATAGATGACATCTTGATTTACTCAAAGAGTGAAGAAGAGCATGAGGAGCACTTGATACTTGTTCTTGAAACACTACGGGAGAAGCAACTCTATGCCAAATTTTCTAAATGTGAATTTTGGCTAAAGGAGATTGGCTTCCTCGGGCACGTGGTTTCGGGATCGGGGATTGCTGTTGATAACAAGAAGATAGAAGCCATCACTGAATGGGAGAGGCCAAAGAACGTCAAGGAAATTCGTAGTTTCCTTGGATTGGCAGGCTACTATAGAAAGTTCGTGGAAAAGTTCTCTGTTTTGGCATCGCCATTGACGAAGCTCACTCGTAAAGGAGCTAAGTTTGTATGGGATGACAAATGTGAGAAAGGGTTCATGGAACTAAAGAAGAGATTGACTGAGGCACCGGTACTTGCATTACCCAAACAAGGTGTGGGGTACGATGTCTATAGCGATGCGAGCATCCAAGGGCTCGGATGTGTACTGATGCAGAATGGGAGGGTAATCGCCTATGCTTCACGACAATTGAAGAAGCATGAGGTGAATTATCCTACTCATGATTTGGAGCTCGGGGCAGTGGTATTTGCACTGAAGATATGGAGACATTATCTCTACGGGGAGACATGTCACATATACACTGATCACAAGAGCTTGAAGTACGTGTTTACTCAGAAAGAGCTAAACATGAGACAGAGACGGTGGATGGAGCTGATAAAAGACTACCATCTGGTGATAGAGTATCACCCAGGCAAGGCAAACGTGGTGGCAGATGCTTTGAGCCGGAAGAGCTCGTCTGGGGCATTGATAACTAATTTGAGGGCATTAAGAGCCCAACTGGAGGTAACCAGCGATGGTGCCTTATTGGCACGATTTGAGGTGAGACCCACTTTACTTGATGAGATCAAGAAGGGTCAGGAAGCCGACGAAGAACTTATGAAGGTCCGGGAACGCATGCAAGCGGGGCCGGTGGAGGATTTCAGGGAAAGAGATGATGGTCTCTTGTTATTTCGTGACCGAGTGTGTGTACCGTCAGATGATGAGCTCCGAAAGTCCATCTTAGAGGAGGCTCATTCATCGGCTTATGCCATGCACCCGGGGGGCACGAAAATGTACCGTGATTTGAAGGAAAGTTACTGGTGGTCTGGAATGAAGAGGGAAATAGCCGAGTACATCAGTCGGTGCCTTACTTGTCAACAAGTTAAGGCAGAACATCAGCACCCAGCAGGCTTATTGCAACCACTCTCCATCCCTGAATGGAAGTGGGAGCACGTGACTATGGATTTCGTGGTAGGCTTACCACGGACTATCAGGAACTATGACGCGGTTTGGGTCGTTGTGGATAGGCTCACAAAGAGTGCACACTTCTTGCCTATCAACACTACCTACCCACTTGAGAGGTTAGCCAAATTGTATACGGATGAGATCGTGAGGCTGCATGGGGTCCCGGTGACCATTGTATCTGATAGAGACCCACGATTCACATCACGTTTTTGGCCGAAATTCCAGGAGTCTATGGGAACGAAGTTGAAGTTCAGCACTGCTTTCCATCCACAGACGGATGGGCAGTCTGAAAGGGTTATCCAGATCCTAGAAGACATGCTGAGGGCTTGTGCATTGGAGTTCCAGGGAAGTTGGGACAACCACTTAGCACTTGTGGAGTTTGCCTATAACAACAGTTATCAGGCAAGCATCGGCATGCCTCCATACGAGGCATTGTATGGGAGGAGGTGCCGTACACCGTTATGCTGGGACGAGGTTGGCATGGCCAAACTCGAGGGTACTGAGTTGGTTGAGGTCACCAAATCAAAGGTGAAGTTGATTCGAGAGAGACTCAAGGCGGCTCAGGATAGACAAAAGAGTTATGCAGATAAGCGTCGAAGAACCTTAGAGTTTAAGGTTGATGACGAGGTATTCTTGAAAGTTTCTCCTTGGAAAGGGATCATTCGGTTCCAAACCCGAGGAAAACTTAACCCACGATATATAGGTCCATTCAGAATTATAGAGAGGATTGGGGCCGTTGCATATCGTCTACAGTTGACTCCTGAGTTAGAGAAGATACATAATGTGTTTCATGTATCCATGCTTAAGAAGTATGTGCATGATCCCTCTCACGTACTAGAGAAGCCACCTGTAGAGGTACGTGAGGATTTGAACTACGCTGTTCAACCTATCAAGGTCACCGATAGAAAGGTGAAGAAGCTGAGGAGCAAAGAAGTCCCAATGGTTAAAGTCCTGTGGAAGAGCGATCGGGTCGAGGAAGAGACATGGGAAACGGAGGCTTTGATGAGGAAGCAGTATGCTTTCCTATTCGAGTAGAGCTGTGAATTTCGGGGACGAAATTCCTGTTAAGGGGGGGTGAACTTGTGACACCGCACCCGAACGTCCTTGAAAATTCGATTTAAAAATTCAAAAGTGATGCATTGAATTTCCAATTTCAAAACAATGGGAGAAACGACTAATATTTTACGAAGTACATGATTGAATATTGTATTGTTCAAACCCGCATTCTTTTGTAATTTTCATCGTGTAAATTATTGGGATGAGCCTACACATATTGGAGATCAATAATGTGATTTAGGAAGTTGACTTGTTCTAAATAAATTAGGATGAGTACAAAAAGACATCTTTGACAAAGATAAAACAATAGGACCCATCTTCCCATTTTTGGAAGTATTGGTAGATATTTTGGACCCCAAATTTAATGGGATCAATTGGGAACCACTCCACATGGTATTAGTACCTGCAAAACAAATAAAAATGGGTTAGGAGACTTACCTTGGCCGGCCATTATGGAGAAGAGCTGCACATGACTTGATAAGAATCAAAGTTTGGGGCCACCACTCTTATTTTCGCACAAATTGGTGTGCTGTTTGTCTCCTCTCATTATAGGAGCTATCCTCAACCAAATAACGTGTATGAGGTGTCCTTGGATAGCCTTTGAAGTCTATTATCTCAATTGAGTGGTCTTTGTTCGAGGAGAGAAGGCTTATCTTGCAAAAATCGAGCTGGAACGAGCAAAGGTCTGTGAACTCGAGCTGTGAGAGTGCTGAGACTGTTTGGTCGATATCTCGAGTTTTACAAGTCCAATTAAGGCGTGTGAGATACCCACAGAAAGCTCTCAAGACGGGGAATCCGTGAAGGTCTGGTTTGCAGGAATCGGAGTTGTGGAAGGCTTCCAAATCGTCCGAGCAAAACACAACCTCGCAGGAGAGGATTTAACCTTCTAAAGTGAGTTTTAACCCCAAAGCTTTACTTTTCATTCTCCAAATGATATGAACGATTGGTGAGACTATTATACACTAATCCAAGTGTATAATATGTCCCTAAAAAAGTTATCTTATTGATGTAAAGGTTAGATACTAACCTAGATGCAAATATTGGAAAACTAGGAATCGAGTTAGCCGGAAAACACCCGTTCTAGGGGCTGTTTTCGTATCAACGATTAAGGGTTGAACTAGCACTTTGAGGAGGCTGTTTAACACTCATATTTGAGCAAGGAATCAGTCCCAAATCCACCTTGACCAAAGATTTGACCATTGGACCAAGAAGGGAAAGTTTAAAGCTCAATTGAGGTGAGGATTGACATCTAATTGCTTACAACTTGTAGGTTAAGCATGAGATTACCTAAATGCTTAAATCATGATTTTTCATGGATTATGATGATTATATATAGATGAAATATTGATATAGTTGCCAAAGAATGAAATTTGAAATGATTTGAGAAGGTATGAATAATATGAGATTAAATGAGTATAAATGAACTATTTGTGAAAATGGGCATTTTTCTCATGTATGAATTATGTGGATACATAAATGAATATTTGTGTATTGAGAACGAATGTTTAAGTTGCTGCTACATAAGTATAAATATGTAGAGAATTACAAATAACAAGGATAATGGTTTGATAACAATAATCTTAATAGTATTGAAATACTAGTTAATGATTATTGGGATTTATTGATTAAATTGATCCTAGGGATTGGATTGCATGAAAGGTGCTTGAATATAGTTCAAGTGTATATAATAACTTAGTATGGAACTAAGGTTAAGTTATGGGAAGTCTTTAAGGATGACCCATGGTAGTTTAATGATATGTCAATTCTAGGCATAGGGATTGCTTGAGAATTGGACCTTAATGCATGGTGATGTGATAGAGCCGAGCTCTAGAATGCATGTAAGGGTAGACTTGGAGTCTATGTATTGTATAGCTAGAGCCGAGCTCTAGGACTTGCGTGGTGATGTGGTAGAGCCGAGCTCTAGAACGCAAGGTAAGGAAATTGACCCGAGGTATATGAATTGTATGGTGATGTGGTAGAGCCGAGCTCTAGAATACAATGTCATGTACTAGGGTTGGACTCTAGGAGTTGTCGTGGCTTATAGCCACGGGGTTGGGAATGGTGATTTCCAAATGAAAACGGGCCCACGGGCCGACTACTTGACTTTTATATAAAGTAAGTATATTTTTAAACGGGGTAACTTAGGGTTACAATCATAATGTACTATCACCCTACTTGAGGGTCTTGTGTTTGAAATACTTGTTGTATATCTATTAGATGCCTGCCACACCAGTACTTTATAGCCGTATAGAGTACTGACCCCTTCGGGGGCGTCCCACCACCATTTCAGGTTGAGGCTAGAGCTTGCTTCCTGTGCTCGTTGATCGAGTGATTCCTTGGAGAGAAGACTTGGTTCGTGCTTCCTCCATTCTGTTTTTAAATAATATTAAACTTGCTCATGGATATTTTACTTTAGAGCCTGCGTGCTCATGTTTGCCCTGTGTGGCCCTTTTGTTTTAAACAATGTTTTCCGCTGCGTATTCAATTGTTTATTATGTATGTTTATGGATGACTTATGTGTGAATGATATTCATGACGCCTTGTATAATATGAATGTGTTGGACTGCGGTTGACTATTCGTATTGTACGGCGGGTTGTTGACGTGTCCGGGGAGGTCCGGGGCGTGACATTTTTATTCACCAATAAAACTATACCAAGAAACTTTTGAATTGGTTTTACATTGATAAACCACACCCGCTCAATTCTTCAATGATGTTTCGATCTCTCAATGTGAATGATGATTCTTCTGACCCTGATGAATAAATCCTTGGTCGTGAAATAATATATTTGAATGCTATTGAAGCATTAATGTATTTGACTAATAATACTTGAGTAGATGTTGCTAACTTTTTCTATAAATTTGTTAGCCAGATATATCGCAGGTCAAAGGATGTTACATCAAAAGGGATAGAACAAAGCATATAGCACCATAACTAGGGGTGGGATCGGTCCGGTCTGGGTCGGGTTTTTGCTAAACCCGGAAATTACCCGGAAGGTCTCGGGTTATGAAAATTAGGGACCGGAACAAAGCCCATTATATTCAGGCCGAGTCGGGTTTTTGGTAGCCCGGGTTCGGGTTGGACCGGTTAAAGCCCGGACATGAAATATGTCATTGTTCTTTTATATTTTAACACTTATTTTCAAATAAAATTAATCAAAAATACAAACCGCAAATAATAACACAGATATTAGTCTCCAAAATCACCAACAATTCAAATTTAAAGAAGATAATTATCTTAATATTTTATGTAAGATGTATATATATAAATAATATATGTTTCTTAAAAATATTATGAAATAAATTTTATAAATCAAAAAGTTACTAGAGTTGCTATAAATATATTCTCATGGTCATCATTACGCTAAACAAATTCAACATATTTGTAGTCACTAAAAGTTACTAAATCTTTTTTTATCCACCGTGATTATAATCATATATTAGGAATTTATATTCATATACTATGTTAATTTTATATTAAAACTAATTGTTTCGGGTTTGTTCGGTCCGGGCCGGGTTATAGATTTTAAGGCCCGTTAATGAGCCCAGAATTTTCGGTTCGGTCCGGTTTTTTTTAATTTGGGCCGGTTAAAAAAAAATGCGTACCGGGATCATAATTCAGGTCGATCCAGGGTCGGTTTCCGGGTTTCGGTTCAGTTTTTCCCACCCCTAACCATAACTTTTCTCCACACATGATCTTGAGAAAGACGGAACGGTTGATGCTAGACAAATAAAGTCATGAGACAACCCTGCTGATTTATTCACAAAGTCATTGGCACCGAAGAAATTTGAAGAACTGGTCCACAAAATTGGAATGTGCCGTCTTCGAGATATATGTTAAATTGAGGGGGAGTAATATAATGCATTGCACTCTTTTTCCCTTCGTCATAATTTTTTTTTCCCCACTGGGTTTTTCCTGACAATGTTTTTAACGAGACAGTACATTATAATACTATGAAACTAATACCCCAGAATAATTAGAAGATGACCATTCACGGGGGAGTGTTGAAATATTATTGAATTAGTCATCTTCCAACTATTCTTGATTAGGAACTATTATCACCATTATATAAATAATCAGGAAATCATAATTATGATTCTAGATGATAATTGTGTGGTACACAATTATCTTCTAATCCTAAGGAGTTTAGTTTTTCTCCTATAAATATGAGTATTCTCCTTCATTGTAAAGACACTTCTTAGACACCATTATCACACTTCTAATAACATCTTTCTCACTAAGTATTCAGAATATACTTTCTCTCCTTAATCTTCTGCTTATTTCCTTCCATTTTATAACAAAATGTTCATATTGATTAACAACGTTCGGATATTAAAAGATAAGAAATGATTTGACAGTTCGATTATTAAAATTATACATTTAATCATAATGAAGGCCATCTGCTCATTATCCACTAAGATAGTACGTAGCTCGCAGGTGCATTATAATTTCCAATTAGAATGTAACGTATCAACATCTCTTTGCACCATTTATAAAATTAAAATGTTTTAAAATAATTATAAAAATAAGTAAAGTTTATTTCATTTGAAATACTCCTAATTTTTCCAACAATGATTGTGTTTGTTAAATTAAAGTGACATTTTTGTAACAAAAAAAAATTTATGTACACAGTTTTACTCTTTACACACTTTTACACACGCATGTTATGTGACTTATGTTTATCCAGAAACAAAACATGTTTTGTCTGTGTAAAAGTGTAAAAGTGTATAAAGAATACAAAATACAAATGGAATGTTTGGGAGAATGTTTGTTAAGTTAATTATTTACAAAAGTATCACATCATCAATCACCGTCATATATTCATATCATGATAGACTTGCATTAAAAATAGGGGAGGGCATGAGTCACATTGATTCCCATATTTATACTTTTCTAAGAATCGCATATTCCATTAATTCCGGACCAGGTATACCAATTTTCAAAATAGAAATCAGAATTTACCCGCTCTGCTTGAAATGAACTGATTCGATCTAGGTTCCCAATTCCTTTTTATTCGTAATAACTAAATATTGCTCACTTCTAAACGAGCTAACAAGTAATAACATCTCCAAACTAAATATAAAGTCAACTTAAACCGTAATATAGTATAATTAAAGCTAAAAACAATAAAAATTTGGGATGAATTAAACAGAATGGCTTCAGAATGTATTAAAATTAAATACTACGTAGCACATAACTTAACAAATCAAATAGCTCCAATAGATAAATGTAAACAATTAAACATTCTCCATTATTTAAAAATAGCACAAAAACTGAAAAAAGATGTAGAAAAATTAAAATTGCCACTAGGCATGTCTAAAGAGAACTAATTATAGCTTACAAAATATCTGGATGTAAATCGAATTGAGCATATTGTAATGAATTAGATCACATTTCGTCGAGTTAGGGTCTTTACTTACATAAAAAAAAAAGCTCGGATAAACTTGATTGTAGAATTGGGATAAATCTTTATGAGTTTATGTAGACATTGGAGCTCTTATTAATAGAATCGTTATTAATAGAATCGTGAATGTACGCTCAACTTTAGTTCTTTGAATTTCTCAAAAACACATGAACGAGCATTTGTGTCTTCCTAATATATATTAAAGTAAGAGAAAACAATTTGAACAATATCAACTATCACCGACAAAGAAACAATAATACATAGAAAGAATGACTCCTACGCTTCTAAAACCCAAAAGTAGGAGTGATTTTGAATTTGGACAAAAATAGGATTAATTAAATCAATGGACAAAAATACCCTTGTGATATACGGAATAATAGAAATCAACCCCTAAATCCCAGCTCAGTCACCGCATCCATCGTTACCACCGACTCCATCGCCGCATCTATCGTCGTTGTCTTTGTCGTCGTGTCTCCATCGCCGCCAGCTCAGTCACCGCATCCATCGTCGTCGCCTCTGTCATCGCCTCTTTATCTCCGTCGTTCCTTTTTCATTCTCTATCATCGCTTGTGTGTTCTCGCCCTAGCTCCGCCGCCGCCCCATTCTTCTTCTATTTCTCTGTGAACCGATTGGATACGAGTTGGAGATGACATGTCATTTCTCCTTCATCTCCAACAGAGCGACGAGGATGACGATAGGCAATGAGTTCTGGCAGATCCAACGGCAACTTAGATGATGTGTACTAGCATGTAGATCTGGTCGCAACTAAGGTGGTGTAGTGGTGGGGGTGGAGATGATTTATGGTGGTTGTGGTGCGGTGGTTAGGGCTTTAGGCATTCTTGTGCAGTGGTGGGGTTGTTGGGATCGTGGTGGAGGCTGGTGGTAGGTGCATGGGAGGCTGGGGATTGGGCTAGGTAGGGGGTCGGGGGCTAAGCTAGAATGGTGAGGGTAGGGGTGGGGGTGGGCTGTGCGTCGTGGATGATGGTGGAGGAAAGGCGGGTGGTAATTGTTGGGGCGGTTGCGGCGGAGTAGTGTTGGTCATTATCTGTTGGCGGTGGGCACTTGTAATTGGTCACCGTCACTTGGTAACTGGACGACGGGTCACTAGTCATGGCGGTTGGTCATTGTTGGTTGGGGGAGGGGAACCATGGTTAGTGGTGGTGCCCGACGGTGGCTAGTGTTTAAAATTAGGTCACTGACGGGTGTTGGGCGAGTTTAATTGTGTTCAGCGGTGGTTACTGAATGAGAGTCATTGTGGAAAATAGTCACTGCGCGAGAGTCACTATGTCAATTGTTCAATGGGTGAATGTCAATGTGTTAATTGGTCACTAAGCAAAAGTCACTGTAGGATAGGTCACTATAGCGAATTAGATGGTTTAGTAGGGATTAAATGGTCTTTTCACTCATTTTTAGTCACATTTATTTTTTTAAAAAATGTCACTTTTTTGTCTATTCTCAAATTTTTAGTAATATTCATGGTAAAACCCCTAATACATACTATAAAAATAATAAATTAATATTTCAACTGTTCAAATATATAATAAAAGTAAAAAATTGCGACTATAACACTGATTTGAACTATTAATAGATAAATGGATCATTTATTTCATCCACACATGAACGATCCAACCCTTAATCCAACGCTGAGTTGAAATATCCATTTATCTATTAATAGATAAATGAGACGTAGAGTCACGATATATTGGGTTATAGAGTCACATTTATTTATATAACTCATTTGAACACATATTTATTTCATCCACGCATGAATTATCCAATCCAAGGATTCTCAACTCTCAAAATTACCTGACCTTTTAACGTGCACGCAATCACGGATCCAGGATTTCTATTCAAGGGGGGCGAAATTTTTCGGTAGTGTAGGGGGTGAAAAAATTTTCGTTAGTGTAGTGGGGCGAAATTTTTTCCCTAGTGTAGTAGGGTGAATTTTTTCCGCTACTGTAGGGCTATGCAGGTAATTTTATTCAAAAAATGACATTAATACATACACATCCCCAACGACATTTAAATCTATTAAGTAGTACATTCTAAGTTTAAATTAGACGATGACAAAGACATCAACCAATACATTTTTAATAACTTTTACATTGTTTAACCTCATGAATCAGTTATTATTGAATTGTAATTTTGGTCCGGCCACCAAGGAGGGTGTTCGTGAGTCATGACTCATGAGAAGTTTTCTTAATATTATAATAGTAGTATGTATGATATTATTATTTTTAGAATAATATGCACAACATACACACACATATATGGTGCATATTATATTTTATATTTGTATTAATGCTATAATAATTTAAAGTTTATTATATAT